AGTTTTAAAAATTTAACTTAGTTAAGATACAAATTAACCCATAATGAAACTAATTGAATTAAACTTAAGTTAATAATAAAAGGAAATTAAAATGTTAAAAGTTAAATTTGTTTTACAAAATCTTAGAGACTCGCGATCACGTGAATTGCTTTGAATTTTACAGGCGCGCGGCAACTCGCGACGCCTTTGTTTATCACATGGCTATTTGTAAGAAAAGTAAATTAAAAGTTAAAAGTTACCAATAAAATATAACTTAGTTAAGTTAAAAGTTAACAGTTTATAATGAAACTAAGTTAAGTTAAAATTATTGAACTTTCTAACTTTTTAACTTAACTTTTATCTTTTTAACTAGACGGTACCCAACCATTTGAAAATGTGGTTAACCAACACTGATAACAAAGGTCCGTGTTTGAATTATGGAAGTTACAAGAGTGGAATACATGTTCAGACTCATGCAAACATATTACAAACATTACGCAACAAATTGTATCCTACCAAACTGCCTGAATTCACGCCAAAATTAAAATCAAGGTATATATGTCTAAACATTACGTGTACAATTATAAATTATGTTTTGTCAACCTAAAAAAAGAAGAAATAGTTATTATATTTATGATAAACAGCATTAATAATTCTGTTCATTACCAGAGGTAGAGTGCATCAAAGTGACGTTTCTGAAGGATGGTCTGTACCGCTTGGGTTCATTCCCGATGGTCCACTGGTTCTTCGTACACAGCGATTCTTGTATGACAAATACAAACAGAGGCCTGCGCAAGTTCAACTTTATGCTACGATTCCGTTAGTATACATATAACGATAAAAATGTCACAAATGTTGAGAAATAATTTCTACTAACGTACGTTTATTATTAGGTCTTTCTTTGAGTTGTTGTTACTCTCCATTGTTGTAATAATGTTATCGCTCATGACGCGCATAGAGTGGAGTCGTAAGTTAATTTTAAAAGTACGTATCGAAATATTTACGAGTGTCAAAACTATTTAGATAATGCGAGATAATTAAACACGATATTTGCAGTATCCCTCTCTATTTACATTGGGTTTTATCAGTGACAAAAACCCGAATCTGGAAGCATGGAAATCGATAACAATTTCTTTTACGATGAGAGCCCGTGGATGGACCGAAATGTTGGCCGAACCTACCAACAAATATACGAATCCGCCTAATAAGGAAGTAATAACTAAAGTCTCCGTTGTTTCTCCTGCATACGAAACGACCAGTATTATGACAATCTTATCGGCAATAACAATCCTTAACGAGACCGATATTATGCCTGACAAGTGAGTGAGGAATCATTAATCATTCTCGTGTCTATCTTACGGACGTTTCTTGAATATATCGCAGTTTTTGAATTTGTAATATAAATAATAAAAATACAATAATATTTACATGTTAAACTTCAGCTTTATTTTTATGTTATTGTATTTTTACAGCGGAGGCGTGCTCACTCCCGGTGCTGCATTTGGTAAAACATCTCTGGTCGAACGAATGAATAAACATAATATTAAATTCGAGGTTATATCGTCTACTGTGAAATAGAGACAAATGCAAAAGTAAGATACAATTTTCACTAATAGAATTCTTTTTTAACACACTTAATTTTTTTACTTTAATGCTAACAGTTTTACAATTTGTTGGGTAATGGTTCTGCTACACACATGTTTCAAGATATTTTAAAAGTAAATTATTGAGTTAGGCAGAAAAAGTGAAGGATCCTTTTACATTAAGCGACTTTATGAACACTATCGAGAACAATTCATCTATTTAATTCGATGTGTAATTAATATATATGATAATTAATGTGCGCTTATCAATATGTACGTATATCTTATTATATAAATTTATATTCACGCTGGCCTTAAAATGCGTTTTAATATCCCTTATAGATACCAATGATTTATTAACAATGATCTCACTAGAATTAAAAGTTCCATTGTAAGTTTAAGATTTAAAAATAGGAAGATTCTTACAAGTCGCCCCTTAATAATATTAAATCACTGAAATTTCACCGTTTATTCTACACGTTTACCACTGACTGTAAAACTCACATTCAATTTTCTTATTTTATTAGTCTTCACATATTTCTATGAACTCACGCCAAATTTTCTTGTCATTAATCGTCACACATTTATATAACTTGTACTAACATTAATCGTAACTTTTAGATCACTTGAAAAGGACCAAAAACTGTGATCGAGACGTTATGAATTTCAACTATATTAAACTTGCCAGACATGGTCAAAAAAGTTCTCATGTTTTTAAGATTTAACTTATTGTTAGAGTTTATCATTATGACACATCAACGAACGCGTACTTTACTAGTCCGCTGAAGAACGGACGAGATTTGAATACGGAATTGTAGTTTTTAATAAAAAAAAAAGACATAGATTCTCGGAGAACGTTATAGTTGTAGTCTTTCTGCAATCGGCTCGTTTATGACCAAAACCCCCGCATGTATGGCGTTGAATCTTAAGAGGATGCTAAACCCGTCTGTTTTGTCGACATTTTTGTTTAGAACTAATCTTTTAATTGGCTTTATAGAAATGCAAAACTCTGTTACGGAATTAAAGTACGCAGCAAAATCTACACTATGCTGGTCGACTTTATATCAAAAACTCAAAAAAATTACAAATTTTACTAATTTTTTGCATACTTGACGACAATATTTGCTTAATACAAGAATTCTACAATAAATATATACAAAATAAGACCAGGATAGTCTAGGGATAACATATAAGAACAATATATCGTGCAATTAGAACTAAGATTAATAGCCTAGAAAAAAAGATTACTTCTAATTACCGCAAGTCTAAAAATGCAATTCTAGAAGACGAAGAAAAGATCAGCATGGCGTGTAAAAATAGTTGCAGGCTTTCTCGAGAGATGTTACTGCCAAACATCTGTCAGATTGTCGGTAAAGCCATGGTGTCGACGATTCTAGAATTCGATCCAAAATCTCGGTCTGAGCAATGTGTATAGCTAATAAAATTATTGCTTTTTCGTAAAAGTTGCAAATTGATTGGCTATAAAATTTCTCGGACCGAATTCTAAAGGTGCCTTTTCATACGCAGCATGCAGCAGCAGCAAATTAGTCACGTGATCCAAATTCACTACAGCATATTTGCTGCTCACGGAAAAGGAATAGCTGCAGCAGCACTGGCCGGCTAGATCGCGTGTCTGCTGCTTTGCTGTTCGTTCAATTGAACTTCACAGCGATGAAGCAAAATATGGTGAAATTTATTTTGCAGCATCTAGTAACAATTCTTCAACCAATAGCAGCGAGTTGCTGCGGCAGTATGCTGCGCATGAAATGGTACCTTAAAGGTACCGGCGATCGATATTGCTAGGTGAGGGGGGGGGGGGGACAGCGCGCCGTTGCCGGCGAGCTTACGTCGCCACTCTCGCGTCTCGCGTCCCCAGCCCTTGCCTGGCAATATCGATCGCCGTGCGGTCACATCTCGCCACGCGCTTGAATTGGACAGTGGGCAGGGCAAAGACGACGATTTTTGATAATTAATTACTCGTTAACTATTGCGAAAATTGCAAATGGCTGTTTCCAGCACTTTACATCCACCTTCTTTTTTGGAACTACTCCGCTACGCCCATTTTCAAGCACTGTCGATAAAGTCTCCATTTGTGTAATACCTTTGATCAGTTCCATAAGCCACTGTACCTGTATTTAATCCGTTATCCACATCTTCAAGTATTCTTTATAAAAAGACCTTTATTCGAGAATATTACACATCGCATTCAAATAAATTAAAAATACAGATTGTATATTTGAATATATGTGCATGCATGGGGATATTATGTTTCAGACACAAATAACGCTCACCACTACCATGAAAAACTTTTCTGCAGATATATTTTCAGAAACGCAGAGCAATCTACAATAAAGATAGATAAAATACGTTATGATCGCTTTACATATCTAACATACGCATTAAACTCTATTTCACTATATACCACTGTATTTCATTCTTTGAATCGATATTTACAACTCGCATCTTTCTTACCCCCGTACTGTGCATTGTTGTATACGCCGCATCGCCGTTTCCCATAATGCTCGCAATAAATTATAAATAGCTATCACTGCACCTGAATCGTCACTTCGCAAATGAAAATCTCTAATCAGCAGACCTCTGTTGCCACGTAGTCAACCCTGCCTCCAAACAAATATTAACTACGTTCTTTTCTTTCTTAGCACGAAACTGTATCGTCGCGAATATGTTACCTTACTTTCTCATATACTATTTACAGAAATGCACATGAAAATTGCAAAATTGGCTTCACAAGAGCGCATAAAATAATCTACAAAATAATTTATTTTATACACTGTTAATACGACTGTGTTCAGCATGCAGTGTCGATAGTCTCGGATCATACAATATAACGTACGTTCTACAAGTCGAGGAAAGCTCGACCCTGTTTTTCTCTGCATGTTCGATGAATATAAAACTGAGGAGCCTTCCCTTATGAAAGAAGAAGAAATATCATATCAGTTCATTATTAATTGGACAACATGATTATCTTTAGAATCAATATTTCAAATCCTTACAGAAAAATATTAATAATTTATAAGGGATGCTCTTGACTATACATAATATAAAATCCTTATATCAATGTTTTTTCCGCTTTTTCTTTTTCTTCTCCCTTTTGGCTGAAACAAAATTGAGGTAGCAAATACCTCCTCGCATTCTATGTTAAATAAGGAAAGCATAATGCTGTATTAAGTGATTTAACAGTTCGATACGAACAGAGTACAACTATCGATCTTATGCTAATATTTACAAGTATGTCACATTGGTTTTGTATGCTCAGAATACAAAACTATGGTACCATAAAATAATGAACGCAAAAATAGTATTCTTACCTATTCCTATACTCTTTAAATCACAAACGCGTCAGAAGACTATCGAAAAAAAAAGAAGGTGTGAGCCAAACTGTGTTTTCACTGTATTTTGATTTGCGTAACATATTACGTTCGGTAGTTACTGAATTAGCGCATTGTCCCTGCGACCGGTATTTCGCTAGCAAGTGCAATAGATGATGATTTTCAGTGTGCATACCGGACACTATCATCTCATCTCATCTCTGTGAAACACGATGTTTTTTTTAAGTGTTTCAATTTTTTTACATATAGAAAATTTATATGTTGGTTAGATTTGTACAATTTCACAGATATTATACAACGCACTATGTCCGTTTACATCTACTGCAACGTCATCAGAGTGGATCGTGTTAGCGTAGAGCTGGCTAAATATGTTACTCTCCGATTCTCAGATGAGAACAGCGAAATCAGGTATCATTATTCGAGGCGGTTATGTGCGCAAGCTAAGTTTCTAAACTGAATATATATATATATATATATGTATATATATATATAATTAGTTGATACAATCGAAAATGCAAAATATATGCGCGTAGCGCGGAAGCAATTTACTTATGTTAAAATGAAATATACAAAAGATACAACATAATCAATTGATTTCTATCAATGTTCGGGAGCAATTCAGAACAATGCCCATTTAGTATTACCTAGAACCTGCGACGCTCTAGAATGTTAAGATCTTTGAAAACACCGATTAATTTGTGCAAACGCTGACAATGTTAGTAACACTAGCAGGAGCAGATACTATTTCAAACTGTTAAACTGGGCCACATCCAGGCTATGCAATAGAAAATATATATTCATGATTCCAACAGTGAATTTTCCTCACAATTGCACAATGATAAAATCGAACTCGAATATGTGAAAAAGAATTAGTTTATTAATAAAAAAGGATTGTAAAATCGTACAATCGTACTTTAGAGTTGTACTTGAGTATAATTGGGCGAACTTATCGGATTTTCGTGCGGAAAAATCACTTCGAATAAAATGATCTTCGCGTGCAACGATCAAGATTCAACGAAATTATACTGGTTACAATCTCCACTTAAAAAGAAGCGAATACACACTATTAACTCGTTCGTATCTCTCATCCCTTGTCGAATTTCAATATGTAAGTTCCGATATATAAAAATTTATTATTTCGAGTTATACGCTAAAGCTATAACTCGATCTCCCTCGTTTCTTCTTCCTTTCCACAATCTACTTAACCGTAAAAGTTTCTAATAGGGAGTACCACACACGTCCTAGACACCTTCAATATCGTTATTATCCGCATATGATAAACATCAGAATAATTTTTTTTTATACATAGATACAAGTATGGTGCATGCTCACAGAATTATTGTGCACCGTGCATTCAGTACTTCTCTCCCATGCAATGAAAGAATCAGTGTCGTCGCAAACGCTCTCACTCGCAACAAAATTATGCACAAAACGGTTTTGATACCGTGTCACAACCGAGGAAGAAAGAAGCACTAGGAGTTGGCGTTTGGTGGCGGTGGTCTTCTATCGAAATCTCGCCTGTAATCTTTGTTCTGCCGCCATTCGTTCGGGTAGCTGTCACCCGCGTAGCCACGATTTCTGTAGTGAGTCGATGGAATATCCGGAGAAGGATAACCACTACCACCACTGCTACCACCATAGCTACCTGGTCCATATCCGTAACTCGGTGGGTATCGGGTATAATAATCACTAAAAAAAAACCATCCACATTAAGACAAAATTTATCAAATAAATCATTGGCTAAGCTTGTAAATGAGATCGCTACTACACACTTTCTTTTGTCGTTCATGAGCATACCACGATCCCGATCTCTGTCTCTATCTCTGTGATAACCACTAGACATCCGACCGTAAGGTTCGAAACGATCACGTTTATGATCTGCGAATCTATCGGAAGAAATTGCAATAGTTAAAAAGCAATAAAAGCAAAGATTTCTACTAATAGTTTATAATCTAAATAATTTAACGTTGGATGAGTGAAAACAAATTCTAAACTAAATGCGGAAATTAAATACTGCAAGGTTCATTTTTAACATTGAAATATATGGATAGAAAATGAGCTTACCCGTACCTGCTGTCTCTCATATCTCTGCTGTCTCTCATATCTCTCCCGTCTCTAGGTAACCAATGATCATCTTCCCTGCTACCACTGTAATGCCCCATGTTATATCCATCCCTTCTCATTCTTTCGTCTTTCCCTATGCCTAATCTATCGCCTCTGTCGTGTCCTCTGTCTCGATCTCTGTCACGATCCCTATCTCTTTTCATATCTTTGTGCTTCGATTCCTTTTGCTCTTTGTGTCGCGATATGTCTGCACTGTTAGTAGTACTCGATGTGGAATTTGGCGCCGACGTTATAGGCGTAATTGTAAGAGCACCAATAGTTACTGCAGACGTGCTGCTGAGATTGCTGCTAACAGCGGAAATACTCGTGAGGAGTTTCTTACTTTGCGTACTGCTATTCGAGTTCTCCTCGATATCGTCAATTTTACGTTTCGTTATTCTGCTATCCTTATTACTGCTGTCTGCCTGTTGTTGCTTATCGAAATGTTTCTCGTGAGACGTCTTTTCATTGTGTTTCTATCAAATAGAATAGAAAATAATTACAATTCTTTTCACTTGTTTTTATTTTCTAAATGAAAAAAAATAGCGAGTTTAACGCGGCCAATACCTTTGCAGTACCAGACGCGTCTTCCTTTTTATCAGGGCTGGATGTGGCGCCGTTACTATCGCCATCTTGTTTCACCACGTTCCTGTACATCCTGTAAAGCTTCTTCGCTGTGAAGTTCGTAAACTTGGAAGCGAAGTACCAGAGATTGCTTTTCCATTCGCCGACTTGTTCAGGAGTTCTATATTCTGCCAGACATGCGTTGATATGATTCCCGATTTGGAAAAGACATCGACGCGCGCGAGCAACTCGCTCTTCCTCACTCAGAGACATATCCGGTGTGTCTAAGGCCTTCAATGCCTTCTTTACTGGCCTCATCTTTTCTTTGCACTGTATGATAAAGTAGTACATAATAATAGTTCATTTTTTTCCCTTATATTTTATCATTCGCATTTTAAATATTTGTTTTAGTGAAGTTGTTATAAGAAAAATGTGTAAATCTGCTAAAAGAATAATAATTAACCTCGTCAAATACTGGTGGGTCTAATTCGCCGATTACATCGACAGCCCTCGGTTCGTTATTCGCAGTAAAGTGCATGGGACCTGCTACTTGCTTATTCTTTTTCGCCTTCTTGTTATCCTTCTTCTCCTTCTTGGCCTTCTTGTCTTTTTTCTTTTCATCCGATAGATTATCCATCTCTTCCTTGATCTCTTTCTTCGCGATGCTGTCTTCTTCTTTTTTAACCGCAGACTATAATTATAACATATGCGTATAATTCATACAAATTCACAAATTGTAAAAGGCTAGTCTTTCGTTTATTAAAACTCACTTTATCAATTCTGGATTTCGATTTTTTGTTTTCATCACCAGAACTGTCGTTATCTTCTACAATCTCTTTAGTGATTGCAGTTTTCATCTCCTTGGTCTTTCTCGGCTTTCTCATTCGCGTCTGGAATAATCGGGCAACTTTAAGTGCAAAAAGAAAACATAACTACATGCTATACATATTAATATTACAATTCACATTCCACAACTCTTTCATACCATTTGCTGGTCAAAGTGTAAGAATGGATGAAAGGATGGGAAGGGTGGGATATTACCTTGCATTCGGTTTCTAATTGAAGAAGAAAGGCATAATCCTGTAGAAGTAAAGAAGATTAACAAAGACATGTCCGCTGACATGTCATATGTCAAGTGACCTTACCACTCCTAACTTAAGATCAATCTGCTTCTTCAAAAGCTTCAAGAGATATTCCGCGCGTGCATTCACGCGTTTGAGTTGCACTTTATTGCCATTGGGAAAGATCTTGTCCCCAAGTTGCAAACTGGCATCTGCTTTTATCGCCTCCCACGAACCCATACCGTGCTGATATATACCCCTTAATAATCTAGTGTCATCCTCGATATTCCAGTCGCATTCGAAATTGGCTGGTTTTAATCTGCAATAAAACATTTCAAATCTTTCGTATGTAATTTTAAATAAGTTTCAATTTTACTCCGGTCATTCTTTTTGCTATATTAATTTTTCAACCAATTATAAATTGTAATTAATTCGACTCACTTGATGTCGAGGTGCCAATTAGCACGTTGCTCAGGATCAGACGGCAGAGCTTGCTCCAGAGGCTCGAGCTCTTTAACCGCAGCCGAGAAAGACTTCGCGTTCACCATTACATTGCCAATCTTAAAGGTCGGTCCGCGTCCTCTCTTACGACCCGGTCCTCCTTTGCTATCTTCCTCGCCACCTTTATTCTCTTTCGAGGTGTTCTCGAATTCTACTAAACACGCGTCGCATCTGGACATCAGTAGCTCGCCTAAGAAGCGCAATTCCGACATTGGTTTCTCTTGTAAGTCCGCGTCCGTCGCGATATCATCTAATCGTTTCACAGGCGCCGGGAACCTTTTGTAACTTTTGATGAACCGTCGTATCTATAAAAGAAAAGCATTACTGTTGTATTAAATTTGTAAAAGATAAAATCATTTCTCATAGAATGCGACTCATTACGTACCTCAACGTCAGTAAAGCTCTTGATAGTCTCGCGCGGCAGTCTCGGTCTACCCCTCTTCTTAGGCCTGTCATCGTCGCTTCCTTCCGCCTCGCTACCTGACTCTTCACCATCCTCGCTATCATCTTGCTCTTTTTTCCGTTTTCTGCGTCCTACAAGTGAATATAGAGTAGTATTCACACGTTTCCTCACATATTTCACATTCAAATGCAAATATCTCTAAAATATTTCTAAAAATACCTTCGCTCTGATTGAGTTGCTGTAAAGTTTTCCGACTTCTCGGCGGTAGGTAAAGATCTTCCATTTCCTTCGACTTTTCCTCCTCTTCCACTTTCCTTCGGAAATTTTCCGGAATAATTTCCGCCTAAAGTACACAAAAGGATATTAAATAAATGATTTGATATATAAAAATAGAATGAAACTTTATATGTACCTATTTGGTTTTGCAATAAAGATAATACGAGTACTGAAATATACATATTTATTCAGAAATAAATTAACAAAGGCACTTACCCAATCTTTACTTTCATCGTCGTTGTCATTTGCCTGATTAATGGGTTCCAAATCCTCTTCAAATGCTGTTTTAAAACTGGCAACTTTAAAGGCTGACAACAATTCGTCGCCAACTGTTGTCGGCGCTTCGTCTCTCGTTTCAGCTCTTCTTAATATCTCATCAACATCACACTACAGAAATTAATAACATTTATTACATATTAATTATTCAAATTAAATTATTGTCAAGCATTTTAAGTTTACCAAACTGACGTCATTAACTCCGAATAAGTGTGTAGAAATTAATAACATTGCAAATATCAATAGAATTTTATATTTCCAGTTAAAATATTCTGCGCTAAATGATTCTAACAAAAGTGTGAGATGTGAAGAAGCTTGTGAAATTCTATGTACAACAGAAGTGTATGCTGATAAACTCACAGCAGGTTCCTCATCTCCGTCTTCCTCGTCTTTAAACAAATCCTCGGCGCCGAATTTTAAAATAGCAGTCAAATCTTCTTTATTAAACGGATTACTATTGGTCCCCGCGTTCTTCTTATCTAACACTGTCCTCCCGGTCGTGTCCATTCGCTGTATCACCAAATGGTCCAGAACCATTTTCTGCTTCGCACGCTCAACGATTTCTTCCTCGACCGACTTTTTGGTAACCAATCGATAGATATTTACCTAAATAAACACAATATAAGTTTGATTACAAGATTGAAGTTTGACACTCGCTTCACGCAAGCGAGCATCGACTCGAAACAAACGCTGGCGTTACCTTATTCTTTTGTCCTATTCGGTGCGCTCTGGCCTGGGCCTGCAAATCATTTTGTGGATTCCAGTCAGAATCGAAAATTATCACAGTGTCCGCGGTAGCGAGATTAATGCCGAGACCACCGGCTCGCGTGGACAGTAGGAAACAAAAGTCCTGCGATCCCTCGGCATTGAAATGATCCAACGCCTGTTTCCGTAGCTCTCCCTTTATACTTCCGTCTAATCTTTGGAATGGGAAGTGCCTCTTTTGCAGATATTCACCGAGAATGTCTAACATCTTCACCATTTGGCTAAATATTAGTACTCTGTGTCCCGTGTCGCGCAATCTCACTAGTAATTTATCCAGGAGCACTAATTTGCCAGAGCCACGAATTATTTGCTGCAAGTAATCTTCGTTAGTCTTTTCCCTCTCGGCCTCGTTCGGTTTCGTGAGAAAGGCGTGATTGCAGCACTTTTTCAACTCGATAACGATGTTCAAGAATGTCGAAGTAGAACCTTTCACGCCTTTCCGCAACGCCTCGTAATTTTTGGTCAATATCCACTTGTAATATTGTTTCTGCAAGGACGTCATTTCTACTCGCAAGATCTGCTCGATTTTAGCAGGTAAAGATTTCTCGACGTCTTTCTTAACTCGACGCAGTATGAATGGTTCTAATTGCTTGTGCAGCTTAGAGTATCCCTTCTGTGCGGCGTTGTCGTGTTGCTTCTCAAATTCTTCCCAAGAGGTAAACCTACGTTCAAACAATAAATGTAAGTACAAAAAAAAATAGAGCAAACCTATGAATACCCTTTTAAATGTATGCTACGTGTATCTAGAAAAATTTTTAACGGGACTAACTTTGTAGGCATGATAAAATGTAATAAGGCCCACAGCTCCTTCAAGCTGTTCTGTAACGGAGTACCAGTGATCAATAAACGATGATTGGTGTGGAATTCGGTAAGTGCTTTGTATAATAACGAATCGTCGTTCTTCAATCGATGAGCTTCATCCACTAGCAATACCGCCCAATTTAAGGCACCCAAAAATGCTTTGTCCTTAAGTACTATCTCGTACGTCGTAAGTATGACGTTGAACTTTAGCCTTTTCGAACCTCGGTAGCACCATTCGTATTCCCTAATCTGAGGAGAATTCATTTAGAAAGTCTCCGAGTGCCGAACGTCGCGGAACAAATTAAAAATAATACTTACAACATTACGAGAATTAACATCGCCCAAGTAAGTGACGAAATTCATGTCAGGTGCCCACTGAGACATCTCTCTCTGCCAGGAAGTCATTGTCGACAGAGGGACTACTAGTAAAAATGGCCCGTGAAGTTGTTGCGTGTGAAATAAGTAATAAAGGAAGCATATCGTTTGGATTGTTTTGCCGAGGCCCATTTCATCGGCTAATATAACGCTGCAAAAACAAATGGACGATTAAAAGATCAAATAAATATATAATGTACATTTCAAAAGCGTCGTTACTTATTAAAAAATCTGCGTACCTATTTTCCTTGCACCAAGAATGTATCATCCAATTAAGCCCATCCATTTGATAATCTCTCAATATTAAATCTTTTTCTATGCCCATGTAAACAGGTTGTTCGTTCAGCTGGTAAAACTTTGGTCTAGATTTGAGAACCTTGCAATGCTTGCTTGGTGTTCTTTTGGATTCTTCTCTGTCGCGAAATTCCGTTATTTTCTCCGGCCATTTTTTCACTATTAAAGTTCCATCCTCCCATGTGGCCTCGGCGTACGACAAATTGTCCCATTTACAATAATAATCAGGAAGTTCGGAGTCGGGTTTCTTGAAGTCAGCTGATGAAAAGAAAATATTAATTTATCACGGCAATTTATATTCATAATAGAAAGAGGAGAGAGTGTTAAAGTATGATTTAAAACAATTAACTGCCGGGATAAAAATTTTCATACCGATAATTCTCTCAACGTTGTTGTAACTTTTCAGAAGATCTTGTTTAAGTTCCAATTGACACTCTAAATAATCCAACTCTTCTGGCTCAGCGTACGCTCTCATTTGTTCGATTCTGTGTTCACGTTTGATAAAATTGTCTAACTTCTTCAATCCTTTTACCTAATAAACATAAGATTATGAATGTACTTCCTGACGTCACGGTTGAAAATTACCAAAGACTTAGGAAGTAAACAAATACTTTTTGTGACTTCAACGTTTCCTCCGATTCCCACGTATTATGTATGTGAGACCAGCTCTTCCATTTGATCAAGTATTGCACCTCGGTCTCTACGTTACTTAGATCCTCTGGATTAGGATCGCCGTTTTCTTCGACAGCGTAGATTGTCGTCACGTTGCCGGTAACTGCATACAATTATATAACAGATATATTCTCTATTTAATCCCGGTTATCGCATAAAACAGACCAACCTCCTTTCTTGCCCATCCTCTGTCCCAAAATTTGTTCAATGGTCTCCGCATTGTCGGGCTCTGTTGACGCAGCGTTCGACTCGTCAACTTCAACCAAATCCTCGCTGTCGGTACCTTCCTCACTTTCCTCTTTGTAACTAACTGCGGTGCCTGTTCGTCTACTAACTTGCCTGATGATTAAGTTTAATGATTATGTCATTATTCGAATCTGCTATTCATATCCTCTTCTCTCTGTTTCTTTTAAACAACGTTTCTCGACACGTACCTTCTATTATCATCGCTGTCGAAGGAAGAATTGTCAGAAGATTCAGAAATCTGCTTCTTTCGCACTCTGGCTTTCTCTTTCGCCTTTTGCGCAGCGCGCCTGTTCAGGGACTTGCTAGGTGGGGGTCTACGTGTCTCAGTTTCGTCAGATTCTGAATCTGAACTCTCTGAATTCCATGAATTGTGTGAACTAAAACAACAAGCCGTGCGTATGAGAATATGCACGTATCACATCGAACATAATTCGCGCTTACAATTGTCCCCGAATTTCATTCAACTTAACGAGACATGCCGCTAGTTTATTTTTTACATGTCAAAAATCTTTTATCGTTTGCGTTTAAAACTTTCTGTGTACTAGGGAATATGTGTAAGATGTAGAGAAATGTGCATATAGCGAAGATAACACCACGAGATCAATTTCTGAAAAAAATGTGATAACTGTGAAAAAAATCTAACAACAATCAGACATGTTTTTTTAATATTCATGTGCAACTGTATGTATTTGTTACGTGAAATAAAATCCGCACAGATTAAGATTTTTCGGAGAAATAAAGCTGTAAACAGTTTAGGGAAATGTCGCATAGATATCAATTCACACATAAAAAAAAACTTGTCTGTTAAGCTTTTAATAAATTCGAGATGTAAACATATGTAAAAAAGACGCAATGTGACGTACTGGAAAGTATAATAAGCAGGTATATGCAAAATCAAAGTAAAATCCGATTAGTGCAAACAGAACGTAAAAACGTAAACACTTATGAATATTTATGCAGTCAAAATACATGTATGCACAAGTGTACCTTTTGTATGTGTGTGTGTGGATAACGCGAGCATATTCATTAAGTGAAACAAGTTTGTTTCTTCTGCGATTGAGATAAAAAAAAGGGCGTCACGAACGTCGCAATAAATTCAGTAATTCACACATTCGAAATACCGTCAGATAACTACATTAGAATTACGCGACGTTATGTAACGACCAGCATTGATAAGATAACGTTGCATTATTTTCTAAATTTATATGCTAACACACTGACGATGATGCAAGTGAAAATTGGCAGGTTCGTACTCTGTGCGGAACATAAACAGAATGCATTCGAAAGACTAGTCGTAAGAAATAGTATTGTTATAGTCAAAATATTCCACTTGTGGTACAAAGTTCGCGACTAGGAATCGCTAACGCCTTCCCACATAAATTTGTGCACGTATCGGCAAGTTTATACATAGAAAAAAAAGTGTGTCAGATCAACTCTTGCATACTCAAATTAACGCGTTCGCTGTTTTGTATATACGCAACAATCTACAATCTTCTTAGGCCCGGTTTCGTCGAACGTCGCTTAACTTTAATCTTTTAGTTCACGTTTGTCTCTTTCTAAAAGTAACAGTTGAAAAGAGGCAAAGAACGAGTTAAGCTGAACTTAAAGTTAAACAATGTTGATGAAACCGGGCTTTGAAAGCATTTAATAATCTTACTTTCCAACAATATTACAGTCTTATTTAAATATTATATTTTAATCATTATAATCTTTGATTCAAAAATATATTATCTTCTAACCAGTATTGGTTCCTTTCTATTCAACAAAATTATTCTGCAATAATAGGCACATATTTTTCTTGATCGAATTATATAAAATTGCTTCGTTTAAGTAACTTTTCCTTCCTTTAACGAAATATAATCTTATTACAGGATTTTCACGTTGAAACTAAACACATGCTCGAAAGAATATCCTTTTTTTTCTGCGTACATTTTCCACATACATACGTGGAAAATGTACGTGCTCCGCGTGCCTAAATTCATACGGGAGGGCATCAGTGATCCCCAGTGTACGAGCTACCTATTTCACATTGGCCATCAATAATTGCGAGCTGGTTTCATATCTGAATTGGCGCATTGCAAGTTTACCGCGGTAACCCGCTCAGCCCCCGAGTTACACCGATCGTTACTGCCAAGTCGACACATCCTCCTCCACCTCCCCCGACGATTTGTCGCACTTACCCTTTCTTCTTAAATTTTTTGCGACCGTCACTGTCGCTCTCGCGATTCGTCGCGAGTCTGTCAGGCTCCTTCCTGGAACGGCCCGACCTCCTGATGCCGTATATGTCAGGATTATCGTCCCACTCGCGACTAGATTCATGTTTAACTCTAAGCTTTGCCTCGGTGCTGTGATTCGAGCCTTTGCTCTGGAAGCTATCGCTTTGTGCAGCAGGTGCATCCGACTTCTCCGACTTTTCCGAGTCGGAGCCCGATCCGGAGCCGGAACCGCTCGAGGAGCTAGAGTCGCTGCATCAAGCAGCCAGGTAATATTTTATTTCACCAATTACATACGGGATGACGGCGCAGCGGCTCGAAATACACATTTCATCAGAATGATTAACGCAATCGTGGGAGTAGTTTACCGGATACAACATCGTTGACATATAAATGATGTAGAAATATGCAATTGCTATAATTCTAAACCTTCGATATCTTAATTGTTTCATTCCAACGATCGCCCCGGGGAGCAAGTTTCTTCAAAATTTCAAGTAAATTAATTTCCAACATAGGCTACGTATAAATTATGTAACGTACGAGACGTAAGAAAAGTATATTATGCACATACCGAATTTTAGGCACACTAATTAGAAAATGTGCATATAATGTGCTGACAAATGTACAAATATGAACCACTGATATCGAAATGGACTACGTACTGTGCACGAAACTGGATCGAGTTTTACTTTAAAGTGTTGAAAATGTGTGTAAATTCTCCCATGATTTGCACGGAGATTCGGGTTTCGTACATTGATCGCTCGAAAGTATGTTGAGTAACGCTACAGACTAATATTAGCAGTTTATCTAACACACCGCGCCGGTGTTTTCGAATGGAACGTTTCAACGTGGCATGAAAAAAAGGGGGTTGTGTGCTCACAAAAAAGAACCCCGAAGTAGGGTATACATAAAATTAGGAAAACTGTTAAGACACTGTTAGTGCTATACGAAGCTGTAGCAATACACAAGTAGCTCATTTGTGAGTGGCACCGGTTGTGACGAACCCTTACACATTAGAGAACCTGATATACACTCGTATTCTCAGTTTAATCAATCTTTGTATCGACAATACATTAAACCGACCGCATCGTCCCATAGACACAAAAATAATTAGCGAATCTAATCAATGTCGAAATAATGAAATTTGCAAAGGCGGAAAAATTACCACGAGCCACGGTAGTGTCTCGCGCCAGGTATAAGCGTAGCTCGCGTAGCTAGAACCGCGCGCGCGAGATATTCTCGCGGGCATCAATAGGGCATTCGAATGGCAGCGCGCATTCTGAGAGCGAAGTTCTCGTTCCCAGAATGCGCGGCCAAAAACTGAGAAACTCAATCTACGTCGGATGTTTCGTTCCCGTAAGGCAAATGGTAAAACGTCACTGATGCAAGTTCGTGTATCAGATCTCACAATTTTCAGGGATACGAGCCGGATCCTCGTGTATACCCACCTCTCGGATCCAGATCCCGAGCCGCTGTTACTGCCGGAAGAGGAGCTGTCGCTTTTGCTCTCGTTCTCGGAATCGGAACCGGATTCCTTACCGGATTCGGATTCTAACGTTTTCTGGAAGTCAATCATATCGGCCACATGTAATCTTATCCTTACGCGAGATATCGCACGTCGCTCGTGTTGTTTGGAATAGTTTTCGCTTTCGTAGTCGACGCTTATCGCAGAGACGCCCTAGCATTGATTATTCTCTCCCGCCGATCTTTTTGATTCCGTTCCTTTTTTTTTAATAATTTTTATTCCAGGCGGACGGTACAATCGTGTGGTTACGAGGTAATTCGCAGTCGGAGGAAGCGGCGAGACGCTTTGGCGCGTCCTTTTATTTCCCTCGGTAATCGGCCCGCAAACAGAAATATCGCCATCAGCCTGAATTCAGTCCTCCATTTTGCGGCCGTCGTCCGCCATTTTGTCTTCTCGGAGAAGGGAAACGGTAACCCAAAAACTATCGTTAAAACACTCGTTTACGTCGTGTACTTGCACGATTATTTTGTGTCGAAATGCAAAACCCATAGGGACTAATTGTGAGAAATAAAGACACGCGTCGCAACGCCTAACCCTTTGCACTCCGAATTATATTTCATCTATTGGTTCGGACTTGGAAAAAATGTCGAGTGAGACTCGACGAAGAAGCTCCCGAGATAAAAACTGATGTCGAGAGTCACACTCGAGATACACTGAGAAAGCAGTCTCTGCAAATTTATTTGTGGCATACAACGTTTATTTCACTGAAATAAACATTATATGCCTCAAATGTTTATTTTAGCGAAACAAACATTATATGCCACAAATAAATTTTCAAAGACTTTTCTCTCAGTGTAGGAGTGCAAAGGGTTAATACATTCCTCATTACTGAATTCCGCAGGCATTCCTTGTATCCAACAACGAAATCCTTTCGTTCGACCGCGTTTCGTTATCCGCGACTAAACGCGGGCGGAGTCTTTCGAGATCTAGTAATCGGCACGTTTGCATCGGCTTATCGCGCACACATTTTCATAATCATACGAGAGGAATCTGTTCGGAAACGCTCAACAAAGGTGTGGATGCTTAATAACAGAGATCATCATTGAAACAGGTCATATATTTATTGGATATTTCAACAATTACATATCTCAGTGCTCGATTAAGATATGTAAAAGCGTACAGAAATATATGGTTCATTATATTATTTAATTCGTTTAGCAAACTAGATATACGTTATGCACTAATTAGTTCGTATTATGCACTGAAAAAAAAATCTGATACATTCAACCAGTCGTCTGTTAGAAAATGGACGAATCAGAATCCCCTTTAGGATCTACCAGACTTGCAGTGAGGTCTAGCGAACTTCTGGTTACGAAATTTCTTTCATGGCAAATCCTAAAGAAATTCTGGTAAATCCTAAAGGAACTCTGACTCGTCCATTTTCCAACAGACGACTGGTCGAATCTATCAGACCTTTTTTTCAGCGTGTATTTTATTGAGCTTCAAGCAGATTAAAAGCAAGTTAACGACATTTGCTGGTGTTCCAATTATGCTTGCGTGTCTCTCTTGACGTTTCGTATAATTTCGTACGTCTACAAGTCTACACTGGCGAACACAAAAGTGACAATTGAGATTCGCGTCTAGCGTGTATCAAAAGGGAAATACTCGGGTTACGAGAGAGCGAAGTAAAAATTCTCTCTCTCTCTCCCCCGCGATCTCAGTGCACGGGCTTTCGTTTTCATACCTACGTTAACTGAGCGTAGATTCCTTGCTCTCTTTCTGTAACAAACGTTAGTGATACATGCCACAGTCCCATCCGGCAGGCCTCGGGCAGCGATGCACGAGTAAATATTCAAACAATCCCTATTGCAACATACACTGCCGACGCTGCGAACCGCTGTTAAAAATTTACGAGTGCGGCACGCGGGCCTTTTCATACATTTTCCCGCGGCAATGTTTTGCACATTACGACGGCAGAACGTACGACTTGCGGGAAAAGTTTGAGCTCAAATATTGTCAAAGAAAACGAATCAGCCTCGATTTACTCGTGGAGCAGTGTCCAATATTATTATGATAATTTACGCTTTATGGCTCGAAGGGGTGCGTTGTTAATTAAGAGAAACAATGCGCGAGTGTTGCTAAACGCGGAGGGAATCCGTTAAACTCAAGTTATAAACCACAGTTACAGCTTACACACGCACATATATACAAGCATTGTAATAAAACCCATGGTTAGTTAAAGTATCTTGCACACGTATTAAAATGGCGTAATGTCCAGCAACTGTATCGCCACAAATTTTTGCACAATTTTGTTCAACTAACCCCGTTAGCGCTCCAAAAGTTACAAAAATTCTCCCGCTAATCCACGATTACCAAGCGCGCGATTGTTCTCAATGTTACCGCCGTGACGCGTAAAGATGGATTTGTTGTCGAACCGAATAAAAATCTGTCGCGGGGCGATGCAGTTTTGCTCAAAGTACGTTTCGCAGTTGCAACTCTCTCGGTCTCGTGAAACCGATGCGAAAGAGAACCTGCGTTAAATCGAGACCATCCAGTGGTGTAAAGCTCCTTAAATGGACCCGATTGCACCCGTCGCATGCCAAAATTGCGGATTTCCTACGAAAATTTCCGCCAGGAGCCTCGAGGGGTTGAAAATGCACAATATTTCCGGCGCTACCCGAATGGAGAGGCGTCGAAACGACGGGTACTTGCCGTGAGAATTGCGCCGCACACTCCTGACGAGCAGGCAGGACTGTGCGCGACAATATTCGAGCTCAATTTGCGAAAATGGGTACATTTTCGATTTCGAAATAAGCTGGACGGCAGGCCGGGGAGAAGTGCGAGGAATCGTTCGCGACGTCGATCAGGATGGTACAGCGATGTTTTCTGTGAAAAATATCGGGTTGACGCGATGTAAACAAACCTTATAGGTTATTGAGGGGCTGGGAAAGTGGGCGAGAGCTGGGAAAAGTCGCGGCCAGGGTAGCGCGGCTTCCTGAGCCCGGACGGCCCGACGGACCCCGCCCTAGGCGTAGGGAGCCCCCGCGGACGGGCATCGGGGCTTTTCTCGCCCTCTCGTCCGTGTCCGCGTCGCGCGTCGAGCCGCGGAAACGCGAGTGACTAGCGCGATTCTCCCCTATTCCAAACAACACCGCGGCCGCGACGGGCGCGTTCGCTGCGACCGTACGTAATCGCGCGGCGCGTATCCGCGGATCGTCACCGGCGTCGATTGTCGCGCGGGTCCGCGCGCACGACGGCGAGATCGCGCGCGGACCCCGGGGGGCTGTCCGCGGATTCGCACTCACCTGCATGGCTACGGGTCCGTACGCGTCGCACCGACGACCCAACGGCGTTTCGTCACCGACGCGCGCCGCCCGGGATCGCACCTGTCCCCTAATCGTCGCCACCGGCCGCGCGCACACGTGCCGCGATATCAAGCCGCGCTGGGCGCCGCGGGCCTCGACATCGCGGGGAAACTCGGCAGTGCAGCGCGCTGTATGCTCACGGCTCCGCGAAGTAAACCGCCATTTTGTGAACCAGACCTGCTTCTTCGTCTCCTCCCCACCACCGCCGTCGCGGCGGCTCTCCCGTCATGCAACGCGCGCGCCATCTCGCTCCCTCGCCGCCTGCGTCGCTCTCGCCCTCCGCCAATCTGGGGCGCGCGGCCCACGGGACGCGGCGCCCGATTGGCCGACGGCCGGGCGGCGCAGGGGGGGGGGGGACGGAGAGGCGCGCGCATCGATCAAGCGGCGCGCCGTCGCGTGCGTGCGTGTGTGCGTGCGCGCGAGCGCGCGCACGCACACCGGAAAAGCGTCCGTTGAACGAAACGTAGAAATTTCTCACGGGCGATTTTCGCGTGGGAAACTCGCGCCGTGCAAAACGCCGCGGCGAGAGGCGCGTCGAGGCCCGGCGAGTTTCGTCGCGTCGTTTTTCTCGCGCGGATTCGCGCTCGAGCGACCGCCGAGCGTCGGAAGCGGCGAATCGAGGCACCGTCCGTCGCACGGCCATTTTGAGCGACTTTACCCAGAATGTCCCAGAAATTCGGCGGCGCGTCCTCCCGCCGATCGACCCGCCACGTCGAGGCTCTGCCGCGCGCGTCGGAAATGACGCGGGCGACGGCCCGCGGGAAAAAAATGCCACGTTCTCCCCGCCGGAAATCGTCTCGCGGAGGCTCGCGTGCTTTCGAAACGGCCGCTCCGGATACGAGGCGGCGGACCGTTACGTAACGCGTCGACGTGTTTCGCGAAGCGATCGACCGGTCTCGTCGGACGCGCGACGGCGAGTTTTACCGACTAGCTTCCTCCGAGGAAAATCCGACATCTTGGAAGAGGGGAAAATCGCGCAAACCATCGCAAATCGTACTTTCGACATCGACCCGTTTTCTCTCTTTCTCTCTCTCTCTCTCTCTCTGTCTCGCGCGCGCGCTGCGTCGCGCATTCAACCGTCCAACGTATACGTACCGTACACAATAACGAAACAACGAATCGTTCGACGGGGGCTCAGGAACTCGCGTCTTAACTCTAGCACAAATCTGTCGTGAAAAGCAGGCAGGAGTCCAACACTAACCGTCGGCCCGACGGAAACGAATGGATGGATCGGTCCTAGAATGTCAAGCCGGCCGACGTCGCCATGCAAAGTACGCGAGCGAGGATGACGAGTAAGAACGGAGCACGGCGGGCCTGGCCTTCCATCAGGCGTGTCGGGAACGGACGGACGGAATGGACGCCGCCGCGGAGAGAATTCCGTGCGGGCGCGTGTCGCGACAGCGCGAAAACGACGCCGACTGAGCGGCGCGCCGCGCCCGTCCCGATGGAAAGCCAAGCGCGGCCGTCTCGCAGACGATGCGACTGTCGTGTCATGGTGAGAATGAAAGACGAAAAATATTACCTACACGTCCGTGACAACGCCGCGCCGGAAAAGGACGAGGCGCCCGTACTTCCGGTATATGTATGCCGCCCGCCGCTCGATTCGAGAGCTCGATCGGCGCCACCGTTCGCGTTCGAGTTTCACGGCGGGCTCCTTCAAACGTGCTCGCCGCGGGAGGAGACGACGGGGGTCGCTTTCGCGTGTCGTTCGACTTGAAAGAAACACATAATTAGTTGCTGTGACAACGATACAAAGCACGTGTAATCACGGATTATAATGCATAATAAAAAAAACACTGTTTATGATTGACAACTTTCGTAAGTTCTGCGGGAGAAAAAAAGATTCTTTGCGTAAATTGTGACGTTTACTCGCCCACACAGCACAGAAAGATTGCAGAAATGTTACATTGCAAGATTGCTGCAACGTTTCTGGAGGATTGCAGCAACGCTGAAATGTCCGCCCTCAGAGAGATTGCGGAGCAACATTGTAGCAATGTTGCAGCGCAATATTTTTGGAATAATTTGTCGTTGTTGTACATAAGCAGAGAATTTACTAATTACATATGCATCCGGGCCTTTTTCAATGCACAGCAAGCTATTGCGAGGCAACCTAAGGAGATTATGTCGCTTCGCAATAGATGGAGATTGCGAGCAACACCGCACTGATCAAGTACTTAATAATTCGCCCATTATTGGTATCAACGAAAATAACATTATAAAATTCTCGTAATTAGAAAAATTTTTTAAATAGAAAATATAGTATTTTCATTATTTTTGAAACATTGCTGCAATATTGCTATCGAAAGTTTGCAATTTTATATCCCTGCAAGATTGCAACGTTTCTGCAATGTAACTGCAACCATCTGTGCTGTATGGGAAAGATTCTTTGCGTAAATTGTGACGTTTGACCCGGATTGGTTTAATAAACGGACCATTTTGCGCAACTTGCCCCCTTTCTTTGTCGCAAAGAGGGAAAAAGAAAGCACCGCAAAAGAAAAATGATACCCGAGAACACGAGTGTGAGTGTTTTAAATGTTCCCTCGACGTGTATACGAAATTAATTCGACATACTCGGAAAAAATGAACGTAAAATGACTCGACATGCGCGCAGAATCGGAGGCAATTTGAAGATCGAAAGTTGAAGCAATTTTGCAAAACATGATTATACGTCTCGCAAGTTAACGGTACAAACAATTTAGATGTATAAGTGGTTTTATTTACATAACGATGTTGTTCCCGATTAATATATTGTACAATGCTAGTGTTATAGGGACATAAAGTGTTGAAATAATTATGGTTTGTGGTTAACAATATATATATATATGTATATACACATAACATAAAAAGATAATTTCAGTAGTAACACAATCATGCACAAAAGTGAAGATTATAGCACTTCGACACCTAATACTTTGTGCCACTTGGTACTCGTTACATATTTCAACTTTTGCCAAGTTTTCTATTTATGAAACGACAACTCAGTCTTATAAACTAATTCACCTTGAGTTAACGTCGTGCCAACGCGACAAGTGTCGCGACGACGAAAGAAAAAGCTGATGGAGAGATAATAATCGCACATTGCCAGAGTTCGCAAAGATGACAACTTTATTGTTAATGTACCCGTTTCAGATTATGTAAAGAATAAATGATGCAAGTGAGATACTGATTTTCATTGAGTATCGATAGTAGGATACGACTTAAATGCCTTATTCCGGATCTGGCGTTTCCCCGACAACGCTCTGCTGCTGTTCCCTCTGCTCCTCCGTCTCCTTCGTTTCGTTTTTCGTCTCCTTCGACTTTTTGTCGGGGACCCACAGACCGCTGTCGATGCAACGTGACATGTGATATGTCGCCTCTCCTTCCGGCATCGCGGCTATCGTTTTTTGTAACAAGGCAATATCTTGCGACTCGAAACACTTTTGTAAGGCCTGAAACAAATATGAGACAGTTAAGAAGGAAACCTCGAAGCGTCGAGCTTTTATATTCCGAGACAAATCTCCATTGACCTCTGGAAGACTCTCGAACACATCGGCCGGATCGAGCCCACCGGGACCCAAACGAGCCTGTCTCTCCTCTTCCTCGGCTTCTTTAACCGCCTCGGCTACTTTCTCCGCCGCTCTTTTGCATATTCTCTCCTTAAACGCTCGAAGTTCCTCATCAAAGGAATTCTTGTACTCTACTTCGGCAACCTGAATGCGACTGAAAAAGGAGCCGACGCACGCTCGCGGGTCTACGTCCAATTGCTTGGACAATTCCAGTATGTATTGCATACATATGCACTGATGCGCGACGTGCTCCATCAAATTGTGTTTCTGAAAACGCAATTTTACACAATCAATTAACGTAGAATTGTCAGATCAGCCTGTCCAAACTTACCTCTTCCATTTCCAAGTTAATGCACCAGACGACCAAATAGTTGGCGGCATTCTCGCAAACCAGATAGAGATGTTCCTGCAAGAATTTCCTGCTGTCTTCATACTTTCTCAGCATACCAAACTCTTTCAGTTTCTTCTCGTGAGCCTTGACGAATTGCTTCATCAGCTGCTCCTTTTCCTCATCGGACAAGCCCGAATCGTCGCTTCTCTTAGCGGGCGCCGTGTTTATCACAGTTTTTGTAAAACCATCTTGCCCAATAGTGTCTATGTTCCACGGTGTCAATTTCTCCTTCCGCTCCATCTCCATCTCCGTCTCCTGGATCTTCTTCTCCTCCTTCTCCAGTTCCTGAAGCGCCTGCTTCAATGCAGTGAAGTCTGACGATTCTTTATCTTCGCTTTCTAATTTGGCCAACTTCTCCTTTGTATCCTGGAGTTTTAGCAACGTTCTAAAATGAAGAGTGTCGTAACAGAAATTAACTAAATCTTGTATACAGAGGAGAAACGTTATTCAACATATTTCAGCTCGTACTCTGCTTTCCTCCTCATGTGATCCTCCTGCTCTTTTCTGCGCTCTTCCATTCTCTCCAATCGTGCCTGATGACGCCATCTGAATAGGGATGGTGTGTCGATGTTTGGATGGATGTCATCTTCGTCGTCTGAAATCTAACGATGCGAGTAACAAAACTTATCAATACGGAAACACACGAGTATGTAAAATCTAAATATACAATGTCACTGTTCGACGGAAGATTGTTTCCAAGAAACAAGTGAGTTTTTCAGAAAACAAACTGATAAGATAGGATCGCCAAGACAGGAAGAGAAAATCAACCAAGTCGTAAAAAAAAATCGAGACGACACGTAGCCCTGGTGTAGCGTTTCAGTCTTGTTTAACATTTGTTGAACAACAAGGATAAAATGGTACACTCGGACACTCGGGTGACGTTTCCAAACGCAGCTCCGCGCGAGCACGGGTAACCAATGACGACATGCTGGCCTGGATTCGATCCTGGCCCTCAGCTTGCACCCTTAAAAACGCTAAATAACAAAAGTGTCTCCTTAAGGAAGAATTAAACAATAGAAAGTAAAATAAATCGTGTACTAGAACAAGAAAACTTGCGAAGGGATTAGTATTTGATAGAGATTTGTGGCGATCCGGTATTCGCGGCACGTAAACTGCATTTCTGAAACGCGACAGCACAGTCGAGTCGAAATTCCGAGCGAGTGACGTTTCGCTAAAGTGTCACAACCTCCGGCGTAAGAGCCACGCGCGGCCGGCGAGACCCCGAGCTCCGTCGAGCACATTAAACTGGATCCGCGAGCGGCCGATGTTATCTATCCTTACTTCGATGCTCTTCCATTTGCTGTAATCCACCATCGTAGCGTCCGAATAAGCCCGCTCGGCGAGTCACTTGTACGCGAGGAGCACGTCAACGACGATCCCTGATGCCTGAATCTCTGGCCTTTCTTCCCTTCCTCCCCCTGCACTACCCTGCATAAGTGCATACACACGGCGAACGTATCATGCACGGAAACCGCACGAATCGTCGTTCTCGCTTCCACCTAGAAGTCTCCGATCGCTCTTGCCGGAAACCGATTACCGACTGGGACGAGCTCCCGGTCGGTAATCGCGGGGAACGACGAGAGATGGCGGGTCATCTCTCGTCATCGATTCGTTCGATCATTGAACTCACGGAGACAAGAACTGTGTCGAAGTTCTAGTTTCGAGAAATGTGTAGCCAATCAACTTGCAGCTCTTCCGTAAAGAGATGCAAGTTGATTGGCTACACATTTTTCAAAACTAGAACTTGGACACAATTTTTGGATCGTGGACACAAGGCTTAAAGCCCGTATCAGACTACGGATTGGGAATGGGATTAGATTGAAATTTAACCAATCACAGTAAAGTTTACTAATCTTAAGTTCAGTAACTTTTACTCTGATTGGTCAAATTTCAATCTAATCCCAATCTCAATCCGTAGTCTGATACGGGCTT